AATACATTGTCTGTAAATGAGTCTCCGTTTTGGCCATAAGTTTGAGGCGATCTCGTCAGCAAAAACTAATTTAATAATATGCACTAACATTGCAATGAACATGGTTATGTAGTCACTATATTTTAATCTACCGTATCCGACAGTAATTAAATCAATATTATACTTGTCAGTAGTATTAATATCAATCAATACTAATACGAGGGAAGTGAATACAACCATTGATTACTTGGTAATGAATGGGAAAGTAATCTGTAAGTCATGTCAACCCTTTGACACTAAACTGCAGGACAAGTGAAATGTTTGAATTACTTGAATATACGATAAGATACCCACTAATTACCGAATGAGTTGTACATTAATGTATGGCAAACATGACATCGTTTAATGAATATTCAGCATAGCTTTCACAGCAGGGATTACCGCATCCATCAACACATACAATGGGATCAAAATGATAACTAAATACTAACAAGTAAGATTGACAAAATTATACTAGGTTTAAATATTTGTAACTGTCATCTTATTACTAAAAAGGCAACAGAAAAGTTAATAGAAAGTTGCATTATTTCAAGTTAAATACAGTACAATAGTTTCATTCAACTTCAATAAATGATTATTGCAACTATTCTATGAGTTTAACATTAATTGAATAGATAATTTTGATCAATCTTTGACTAATTAACAACTTTAATAAGCTTGCAACTATATTACTAATCAAGTGGTTTCCCTACATATTACGGTATATGCAAAATCTGACAATAATTTTTATTTTATAAAAAATATTTCAAATCTAGTGGACATCAGATTTATAATTGATATACACTTTAGACTTCCATTCAATACATTGCAGGCGTTCATCAAATGTGTTAACGCCTACTATTTATTAGCAATTATTTAGTTATTAATTTAATTAAATTGTCCTTAAATATGAACCTATTGTTTATATTTAGTGCACTTTTAACAATATATTCACTGTTATTACGGCTGATAACCGGCGATGAACTGGTTTTGAGCGATAAACAGTTGAATGACGGGACACCGCAACACTTGGCCGCTATTGCCGACGATTATTTAACAGCTCTACTAAATGCCCATCACTTGACCGCAGACGACAATCCCATCGACGACCAGAACACTCGGTCCAAGAGATCGCCTCAAACTTATGGCCAAAACGGAGACTCATTTACAGACAATGTATTGATTAAGATTTAATTGAATTTGAATTAATTTTAGTACTAAACTAACACATAGGGTGTCCACCGCTTGCGATCCATTGTACCGCTGATGACCACATGTGAGGCGTCCGTCGACTTCACGACAATCCCATTCAACGGCCAAACGTATGGCATATGTGTGTCGCGATCGATGGGTCAGAAGTCGGCCAAAGTTAGTGTCGGCGCCATTACTGGCAACGGATGGCAGCGGGACTTAATTTCGTGGTCAGTAATAGACCCGCAAAAAGTGGTGGCGTTTGTGGACGAAGACAAAGACTCAAAAGACCCGAATCTATACGTATTGGTGGCCGACTCGGCCGTCAGTGACGGAACCAACCTCTATGTGATCAACAAATATAATAAGATGATTACCAAAGAGCAGCTCACAGTAAACAGTAAGTGGCCGACGGCTATCGCTGTTTGGTGGTCGCGATCCGACACTTCCTACCACTTGGCGATCGCCAACTCTAACGGCAAAGACTCGTCTCAAACCTACAAATCAAATACCTCTGTCTATCATTGGAAACAAACATATTTTGATCGATACTCAGAAATGACCACTTATTACGTGAAAGACATCTGTCCTTTCAATATACACAGCAATGAGTTCATAGCTGTGGCCAATTATAAGGCCGGACCGAACCAAATGGCCGTCGAGTCGGAGATCTTTAAGCTGGACATCGACCGCAAGAAGTGGCGCTCATTTCAACGCATCCGGACGTTCGGCGCCGTCGACTGGGAGTTCTTCGCGATCGGCGACGACCGGAACAAAGAGTACTTTCTGGTTGTGGCCAATAGTTTTGCCATAAATAACGGTCAAAAGGTCAATTCAATGATCTATAAATTTTCTGACGATCGGTTCGTGCTGTTCCAGTCGTTGGCTACAATCGGCGCGACACAACTCGACTCGTATATCGGCTCTAAGGGTGAGTTTGTCTTAGCGGTGGCCGACAACGATCCCAATCAAGCCCTCCATTTCTATCAATATAACGGCTGGCGTTTTGTCTCCGCTTCCTTTCAACACAAGATCCCTGTGTGGGGTCCAGGAGTGGCGTCCCTTCACTTTTCATATCTCCCAATCCACCGGTCAGTTATACTCGTTGTCAGTAATCCTAATCAGCCAATTGGACGCGTGTTTGGACTGGACTTTATTTTCGAGAATCCTTTGGACGACTGGCACAAGAAGAGTCTGGTCTGGTGTGCGGCCACCGATCGGGACGTGAATCACAACACGATTCCTCCGCTTAAAGACGTTTTCTTTGTCGACCAATCGGAACCCATTGTCCTTAACAGTGACTTTATTTTATCCGATCTTGTGGTGGACTCGCTGTCGACACCTCTTCTCGTCGACGATTCCACTGGCGATGAATTGAGTCACAAACTTATCGAGAATTTGATTCAATTGGATCACGAGATACACGCCGTGGAGGCAAAGATGGGTCAAATTGTGGACATATTATCCAACGCTTTGAGGACTCGCGGCAATCAAGAAATAACTGCTCCTCATGTCTATAAATCAGTTGATTTTGACTGCAGTCCAGGCATGGAGTGTCTCGTCGGACACATTCAGACCAATGTCCTCAATAAGGATAACGTTAATGGTTTGGCCAATGATATCGTTCCTCTCAATAGAGATCAGACTATAGACCAATCGATGCATTTTGAGAACTTGATCGCCGACAAGAATATTATGCTCAACGGTTTACTCAACGGTATAAATACGGAGCAAATTGTTACCAAAAGTGGAAATCACATGATTGTGGCCCCGAAGACATTTGCCAACAATGTGTCCGCCAATGAAGTGGTTGTCAATCATATGATTAATCGCGAGATAATAAATCCGTCCACTGTTTTGCTCACAACTGGCGACCAAATTGTTAACAATACCCTAAATTTCAAAGGAGGTATTGATGTGAATAATATCCGGACCAATGGTCCCGTGAGTGGCGTTAATATCGATAAGTTCTTTGCGGAAGTGGTCACCAAAGATGGCGATCATATCATAAGAGGCGAAAAGGGCTTTAAAAACATAGAACTGAACGAACTATTGATGGCAATCGGCTCCACTATCGATGGCGTGGATATAATGCAAGTGTGGAGAGACGTGTTGTGGACTTATGGCGATCAAGTGATAGAATCGGCCGTCAATTTCACCGAATTGGTGATCGACGGGAATCTATTGGTGAACGGACTCGTAAACGGTGTTAAACTTCCCAATGATATCATTCGAGTCAATGAAAACGCTGTCATTTCGGCCTTTAAAGAATTCCTGGCGACCATAAAGTTTGACCGAATGGAAGTGTTGAATGCTATCAATGGCATCGGTTTAGTCGGCGGACAATTGGACATAATGTCTAAATCGGCCGATCAAGTAGTTCCCGGACGTAAGACATTTACCAAAATGCATTTGAGTGGACACAGTCCGGTCGCAGGGACTGTGGATGGCGTGGATTTATCTCATCTGAAACAAAGTTTGCTCATCAGTAAAGCTGCACAACATTTCGATGTATTGGAAATCACGAGAAACGCCTTCTTTGACGCGGGACTCACTCTCAAGACCGGAATAAATGGCTTAAAAATTGAAGATTTTTATAATAATGCTCTCAAATTGACTGACGGTCGTATCCACGGGTTTCAGCACTTTGTGATGAATAACGTGGCCATCAAATCGCTTGAATGCCTATTAATTAATAACTTGAATATTGGTATGAATTTAGTGTAAAATTAATATTAATCATGAATTAAATTATTAAATTTATAAATGATTTGATTATTTTTTTTGAAAGGTTTGGATCTCATGACCAAAAACACTGATCAACGTATTTCTGGTGGATTAACATTTGTAAACGGAATTACAGCTGAAAATAACTTAACAATTGCTTATATAAATGGTGTAAATTTTAATTTCATAAACGACACGGTTTTGTACGGTTTGGCTAATTATATAACCGGAGAGAAAACATTTGTCGGCGATCTATGGGTTAAGAATCTGCGAGTGGACACAATTAACAACATTTCAATGGCAGACATTGTTTTAGTGAATCGGGACGAAGTGATTACAGCTCCCAAACAATTAGAAAACGTTATCATTTACGGCGATCTCAATGTCCATAGTTTTGATTCTCATATTATAAATGGAGTTCATATGAATAATTTTTACGCAAATAGTCTTCAGTACACAAAACCGCAAACATTTACCGGTCGACCAAATTTTGACACTATTATCGTTCCGAAGGCAACTAATTTTGGGACCAATTCTGTGAATGGAGTCAATTTGAATCATTTGATGGCAGACGCCGTTCTCACAAATGTGCGGCAAATAATTGTCGGTCAGAAGACATTCATCTCTCCCGTAACCATCGGTTCTGTCATTTTTAAACATACCATCGATGGAGTGACTGATTATCTAATGAGAAACGGATGGCTTTTGCAAGACGTGAAGCAAATAATTAATTCGGATGTAATTTTTGAACACATGGTTCGCGTAAACGATGGCATATTAATGGCTAAACCAGTGATAAATAATATCGATTTAAATCTTCTCAACGATAATACGGTTAAAGTGGACGAACCGGCGGTTATAGGAGGTGTAACCCGACTTACGGGAAACGTTGACTCGAAAGGTATGTCTTTAAACAAATTAACTATTGACTGGAAATCTTAAATAAAATGCTTAATATTGATTACATTTTAGGTCACATCCGACTAAATGGTAGATTTCAAGGCATTAAACTGAGCGAAGAGGCCGTGCGTCTGAACGGAGACAATACATTCAAAGGCCAAATCCATTTCACCCGAGGATTTGCAACTCAACAACACTTGCAAACGACTGGAACTGTTGATGGCGTGAAAGTCGAAGAGTTGTGTCAGTTTACTGTTCGCCACAATCAGGATCTGGTCATATCGGGTCCGACACAAGTGACTGGAAATCTCGTAATTAAGGGTCCGCTTAATGTGAACATTGGTGTCAACGGAATGAATATCCAAGACTTCTTCAGAAACACTCTTAAAGTGGACAAACCGTTAGTCTTTAGAGGTGTTAAGAAGTTTAAGGTATTGATAATCGAGGGACCACTCGATGCCAGACAATTGGTCGCCGGGTTTAGGATAGAAGAGTTGGCCAACAATTACATGAGTCTCAGTCGCGACCAAACGGTTAACTCAAAAATAATTTTTCTCAATGATTTAACTTTCAACAAAAATCTTCACATCAATGGAAATCTCTTCACAACAAATGCCACAATCAATGGAATAAATATTCATCGTTTGGATTCAACAGTTCTGAAGACATTCGGCCATCAATTGATTACCGGTGACATCACTTTTGGTAATAACGTACACTTTGACAAAGACTTGAATATTCAAAACCGACGAATCAATGGTTTGCATCTCGTGGACGACTTAATGCTCAAAGGAAGAGATAATGTGGTGACAGTTCCCAAGATCTTTGCTCAAGACATTGTGGTTACGAATGATCTAATAATTAGCGATAATAAGACCGTCGGAGGCGTCGATCTTTCAGAAATGGCGAAACACTCTGTGTTAAGAAATAATGGCAAATACACAATATATGGTCAAAAACACTTCCATCGACTAGAAGTGGATCACTTGAAAGTCCGACTCATGAATGACATGGAAATATCTGACAGAACTCTTCTCTTGACTTTTGGGAATCAAACAATATTTGGCGCAAAAGTATTAAACGGCGATTTAATAGTCAATTCTGCGATCAATGCAAACACCGTTAATAACATAAATATACCAAAACTGGCCAATAGTCTGGTCCTTAAGGGATACAACGTTACGATAACAGCGCCGAAGACATTCAATTCGTCGCTTTCTGTGCAGAATGTGGAGGCGTTTGGGAGAGTGGATGGCGTGGATCTGAATGAACTCAATTACTTCATACGCCTTCCCATCGATTTACAGGACCTAAGAGTACGGCTCGGCGTTGAGGACAAGAAGATTGAAAGACTTCGGACGGCATTAAGCAAACAGTCGTACGAATTGGACTTTTATGAGTTGCACACAACTATGCCTTCCGGTCCGCCGCTACTCTCCTATCACAACACAGACACCGATTCCCAACACCTCTTCATTACTGGTCAGCGCTTGAGTAACGGTTGCCGAGAGGTTGACGTCTACGCCAACTCTCGCAATGGATTTGAATTGCTGTCAAAGTTGTACACAATTGACGCTAATTTGATGACTACTTTCACATCTAATGGACACCAGTTTGTTGTCGTCACAAACGCTAATAACGGTCCTCAAGCGGAACAGTGTCTCAAAATGAATACGTTTACAAAGTTATCACATTCTGGAAGCGGTCCTCAAATCACTCAAGTGTTTGTCTTCGATGGCCAACAAAACAAATACAATGAAATAGAGATTATTCACACCCATAGTGTCACCGATATTGATGTGATCGAAGATAATACTCTTAATCCGTGTCTATTAATGGCTATTCCTGTTGTAAATCGAGTGAAGGGTCAGTCGATTGTCGTCTGTCTTAACGGTAACGGAAACTTCTATTTGAGAGAAACGGTTCCACTCTTAGGAAGACATCGGGTATTCATTTGTCGTTTTTTGTCAAAATGTTTTTATTAATGTTTGAAATAATTTTAGTTTACGATAACCCGAAGCAATAAATTCAACCGAACATTAATGGCATCCATAAAGCGGTGGTCACCTAAAGAGTGGAAGTTCTCCGACATAATGATCAGCGAGTGGTCGTCACATCTCCAGCATTTCGATCACTCCGTACAGAGGATTGAATTCCTGAACCCAATTGCCATTCATTTGGTGGACATTCCCTCAGATTCTGCCACTTTTCTCATCGCAGCCGAAAAGAAGACATCACTCACTCATAAGCCGTTGGTTCGTATCTTTAGGTACAATCATAAACGCGTGGATCCGTTCACTGAAGTGCAACAAATCAAACGCCTGGAAGTGACACAAATCGAGTCCGTATTCTTAGACCACCGAAGAGTTCTGGTCTTAATGCTATCGAAAGATATATTATTCGTATACCAATTGAAAGGCGCGTCTGGTTTCCAACGCGTGTATCAAATGGACGTCCAAAACGCCAGAAGTTTTATTGTATCCAATAATGTAAAGAATGGCCGAATTGTTGGCAGTTTGGTCTCTATTGATATCTATGATTGCAATGTAAACGATGCCAATTGTCATCAAACTGTTGTTTTGGACAGTCGTCTCATTGGCCTTTAACTTCTAATCCAATTGTTTTAGTTTTTACAAATTTATATTTTTGATAATTTAAATCCTTTATAATTTAATGGAATATTTATATAAAAGTCATATTAAATTAATTGCAAAACATATACGATTAGAAATTCTTTATAAATGAACCATTGATTGCGCTTTTAAACCATATGGTAAATTCAAAACAATGAGAACTTCCAATTAATTATTATTAGCATTAATAGAGTAAACAAAATTAAAATGACTGATTGATTACAACTTTTAATTTAAAAATCGTTGATTTTTATTGTTTTATTGTATAAATAAATGAATTGACAGATGATTGCAAAAAATACTTATTTTCTTAAATCCAAAACAAAGACCTAAAAACAAGATAATTGTGATTAAAATTCAATCAATCATATAATTTAAATAATAAATTGAAATACCGATCCATCGGAAGCACTGGCGCCCACTTTGTCTCCTCTGGCGTTCCAACAGACCTCGAATATACCTCCCGTTCCCTTATATGAGTGAACCAATTGTCCGGATTGTGTCGACCAAATGTGAACGCATTTATCGAAACTGCCGGACGCCAGGAACCGGCCGTCGGGGCTGAAGGCCACCGAAT